TCCTCAGCTCACAGTCGTTGACGTGTCTTTGTCTCCTCAGCTCACAGTCGTTGACGTGTCTTTGTCTCCTCAGCTCACAGTCGTTGACGTGTCTTTGTGTCCTCAGCTCACAGTCGTTGACGTGTCTTTGTCTCCTCAGCTCACAGCCGTTAACTCCAGCGTCGCTCTGATCGAAGCTTCAGACGTCGACTCTGAGCCTCTGTTCTATCGTTTAGAGTCGGCAACAGTAAGAACACGTTTCTGTTAATGGATCTAATGAACTAACTCCACTCAAGAGGAAATAATTCATAACTCACTCACTTTACTGTTTCTGTCATTCATTTGTAAATATTGAAAAATTGGGGGGAAACTGAAAGATAATAGTCTTTGAATATTGTGTAATGTTGAATATTATTATGATCAGTTCATACATTCACTCATGATACTTTGTTTGAACAGATATTCTAAAGAATCTTTTCTCTGTGTCGACTAGGACAAATATTTCCGTCTGGAAAACATCAACTCTCCAAAGATTCTCGTGAAAAGTCTCCTGGACTTCGACGTCGTTCAGAAGATCTCTCTGGTTTTACACGTTCAGGTACGACGGTGATGAAGACCACATGTAGAATCTGCTTCTCTTTGACCTTTGACCCGACTCATATGTTCCAGGACACGTTCAACGGCTCGGCCTCCAACAAACCCTTCTTCACGTCTGTGGCCACCATCACGGTTCACGTGAAGGACGTTGACAACCGGCCTCCGTGGTTTCAGCCGTGTCTCAGGACAAACCTAGGAAACGCCAAACTGTGCGTGAGCAGCGGCTACAGAGGAAAAGTCAACTTGACGGAGAAAGAGGTGAGACAGCTGATCCAGCTGAGACTGTTCTGGTCCTGGTTCACCTCTGTTCTCTGTTTCCATGAGACTTGGAGGGGTGGGACACGACCTGAGGAGGAACCTCTGATCTGGAGAAACAGATCCAGGAACAGATCCAGGAATGTTGGGACCTTCTCTTCCGTAGATTGGTCGTGAGCCTCGGAGCAGTTTCCGCTCTGAGCGCTCGTCTAACTTGTAGCTGTGCCCACAGTTCAAACAGAGGGACTGAAGACTGTGAATGTCGTCTGTGTTGTCTCAGGGTTCATGTTGGAGTTATGACCTGGCTCTATGGAAATGAACAGTCTGAGGGAAGAGTCTCAGTATGAGAGTTCACACCTGATGCTTCTAATCCACAGGACGGGCCGTTAGGGCTGGAGCCGGGGCCGGTGTTCGCCAAGGACGGAGACAAGAACCGGAGCGAGCAGATCAGCTACAGAATCCTGAGAGGTGTTTGTTCTTCTTCTGTCACATTCAGGGGAACAGGTCTCATGGGCTGAAGACATGAGTCCCGAGGGTTTCACTTATCATCCTCATCATTAGTCGTAGTAGAAACACCTTCAACTTCTTCAGTGGTGAAAACGTAATAAAGACAAGACATGATTTTATGGATTTTACACATAAGAAGGTTGAAAAAGTGAGAAAAAGCAGAAAAGTAGTTTCCTCAGTCGGATCCAACGTGAAACATTCAGGTTTTATTTTACATGATTGAAAACTTTCTTCTTTCTTTAATCTTCAGGAAACGAAGGAAACATTTTCCAGATTGATGAAGAAACAGGAAACATCACCATGACCAAAGCTGCTGATATTGTCGGACCAATAACTCTGACTGTTCTGGTGAAAGACATGATTGTGTACTCTTTGTGTGTTTGTGTGTTGTTCTGCAGTGACTCTGAATGACTCAGCTTGTTAGTCTCAGTTTTATCATCGTAGAAACATCATGTAAACCTGAACACATCTGAGGACCAACATCTGTCCGTGTCTCCTTCAGGCGTCTCAGGTGACCAACAGGGATCAGTTTGCGGTGACACAGGTGACCATCGAGGTGATGAAGAGGAGCAGGAACCCTCCTCGCTTTGAGAAGGAGCGATACGAAGGATTCATCTACAGTAACTCCGTCCCTGAGAGCATGATCCTCCGAGACCGCAGCACCAACCGGCCGTTCAGGGTCCGAGCCCGGGACGAGGACTTCGCCGGCGTGAGCGCTCCGTGTTTTTACTTCTGCAAAGACGTTCAGTCCCTCGGACGTTTACTCAAACTTTACCTCATTAAAGTCTCGTGTTTAACTTCAACTAGTTGTTCATCTTACATCAGTTTCCTCCTGCATTTCCAGAGTGATTCAGGAAACAGGAAGTCTCTGATGAATTAGCAGAAAAGTAAAGTGTGTGTTTGTGTGTGTGTTTGTGTCCTGAATCACTGTGTGTGTGTGTGTTTGTTTGTGTGTCAGGGTTTGAATCCAGATGTGAAGTACGAGGTTCAGTACAGCAGCTACGTCAACGTGACGTCAGACGGTTTCATGATCCTGAAGAGAATCGTGAAGACAGAATCGTTTGCACTTCAGGTGAGAAAACACAATCGTCCGTGTTCACGTTTGACTGAAACCTGAAGTTTTAAAAGTTGGGAAACTTCCTGCAGCTCAGAGCAGTGGATTCGACGACAGGAGAGTTTGGCACCGCAGCCGTTTCAGTTCAGGTCATTCCAGGTCAGAACCTCAGACACGTTTGATTCTCAGAATAATCTGAACTTTTATTGGGACTCACTGATCCTCTCCTCTGTAGCCGTGGCGACCCCGTCTCCCTCAAACATCGGCTACCGGCCGGGGGACATGGCGCTGCTGGGTCTGGTCATGGCGGCTCTGCTGGTCCTCTGCCTCATCGTGATCGGCTTCTTGATTTCCCGCTTGTGGAAAGGAAACGGCAGCATGAACAAAATATGTGAGGTCAGTTTTCATCAGATCCACTGCTCGCATCACATCCCACTTTTAAACAGCTGAAGAGTTTATAGCCTTTGATTCATGGAAGATTCTTTCATGAGCTTCGTGTGACACTACATGTATAAAACAGTCAAAATTCATTAATGATCATTAATCTGCAGACGAGCTCAGCAGCATCTGCATCAGAGCCTCATTAGCTGCTGTGTTAATGTGGGGGGGCTGTCTCCGCAGTGTCTCGGCCCCTGTCTGAAGTCGGACCAGCCTCGGACCGGGCACCGGGACTCCCTGCAGTACACCAACGACGGCTTCCAGAACGAGGCCGACCAGAGCCGTGGGGGCTCCAGGCGCTGGAACAACGTCCTCCCCAGGCGGAGCACCTTCCCCCAGACACAGGGGAGACGGAGCCGCCACTGCTCCTCCTGTGGCGTCTACACCAACCACGTCCCCAAGGGGAGCCCCTCAGTGAGACCGGGCCGGAGGGGCCGAGGAGACGGAGATGAGTACGGCAAGAGGTCGGTCCTGAACAAGCAGAGGAGGAGGGAGGGCCAGAAGACGGTGTGGTTCAAAGAGAGCGAGGACTCGTCAGACATCGAGGTGGAGATCATCCCAGACACTGTGGGCCGGGTGGAGGAGGAGACCGAGGAGGAGCTGGAGGGGGAGGTGGAGATGGAGGGGGTGGTCAGAGACCCAGCCGCCCCTCCGAGAGGCTCTGATGACGGGCAGGAGAACCAGAACACACGACCCGGTGAGGAGCAGGACTGTGGAGTTACCAACTCACTGAAAGAGAAGGAAGACCAGGAGCAGGAGGGCTGAGGTCCGAGGTCAGAGGTCGACCTGGGGTCAGAGGAAACTGAGCTGTTGGTTTTCTTCTCACTTCCTGGAGACAACAGGCCACAGCACCGGTCTGAGTCCAGGAGGAAGCTTCACATCTCTGGGAAACTGTGGGCGTCAACACCACGGATCCAGAAGGACTTTTTCTCCTGTGAGAATCTGAGCTTTTAATGTTGGAATTTATTGTGTCGGTCAAATGTGTGTGTGAAGTGAAATGTTCCGGTTTCAGATCCTGACCCTTAAAGCAACATTACACGACTTTAAACCTTAAAGCAGCAGCTTCATTAAAATCTGATTTCAGTCTCCAGGAAATGTTGTGTAGACATGTTGTGTAGTCATGTTGTGTAGTCATGTTGTGTAGTCATGTTGTGTAGACGTGTTGTGTAGTCATGTTGTGTAGTCATGTTGTGTAGACATGTTGTGTAGACGTGTTGTGTAGTCATGTTGTGTAGTCATGTTGTGTAGTCATGTTGTGTAGCAGATTGTCGACTCGTTCACAACAACAGGAAAACGTGGGGGACATTCAGGGGAGGGGTGGAGCCTGTAGAGCAGCAGGAGGCGGGACATGACGTATTAAATCAGTGTTGTTATTTACAGCTC